GGGGGGGCAGGCTGGGGGAGGGAGGGCTGGTCACTGGCAGGGACAGCTGTGCTCCGGGGAAACGTGGAGGAGGGCCAGGGCCTGCCCAGGGCCTATCCACCTCCGCTCTGTATCTTGGCCTGCTGACAACGTATTTTGGCCATAAAGAACTTCAGGCCATAAAGTCCTGAAGTCCAGCAGATTTCTCATAGGACCTCTCAGAGCCTCGATTTTCTCACCTGTAAAATGGAGATAGTAACATCCTGGGATGTTGTAAGGATTAGGAGGTTATTGCATGTGAAATCTTGGGCATGGTTCTCAGCAAATGTTATAGCTGTTATTATTCTCATGAGCTTTATCACCAGATTCTCTTCGAACTCTGTACTTGGGGATTGCCAAAGCACAGAGATTATTAGCTGGCAGCTTTTAAATTTTTGGAGATTTGTACATATAGAAGAGTACATAAAACACATTTGTGTGGTCATAAGAGCAATTAAAAAGCAAACATCTGAGTGCATCCTTTATGACTCTATTTATATAAAGCACAGAAGCAAGCAAAATCAATCTATAATGCTAGGAAGTGTTGATGGCCCTTGCGAGGCGGGGAGAAGTGACTGCCTAGGGAGGCAGGGGATACTTCTGGAATGTTGGAGATGTTTTATTTCTTGATCGGGGTACTGGTTACATGGGTATGTTGGTTTATGAAAATGTATCGACTTGTGTGTACTTTTGTGGGTGAAAATGATAGTTCAATAAAAAGGTTTTAAAAAAGCACCCCCCCTCTAACCACCGTCCAGGTCAAGAACTAGAATATTGCCTGCCCCCCTGAGGGCTCCAACCCAATCATACACCCCCTCCCTCCTCCAGATGGAATAAACCACTATCTTCTTTTTGTGGTAATCTCTCCTTACCTTTCGTATAGTTGTACCACTAATGAAAACATTCCTATAGACTTGGTTTTGAACTTACATGAATGCAGTCGTGCCATGAGTTCTTTTGCGTCTCGCTTCTGTTGCTCAGCTCAGTGTCTGAGTCATCTCTGGTGCTGTGTATAGTTGCAGTTCTTTGCTTTGCACTGCTCCGTAGTATCTACTGTGTGGGCAGCCACCATTTGTTTGTCGATGCTATTGTCAGTGGATATTGCATTGTTTCTGGGTTGCAGACAAGCTGCCGTGAATCTTCTGGTGCATGTCTCCTGGTGTGTACAGCAAGCCACTTCTCTGAGTCCAAGACACACATCGTGGCCCATATTAATATTTCTGAAATGGGGGTTCATCTTACAGCTGGTGCTTGTGATCATTTAATTGGCAGCATATTTTACTCGTTAGTAGGACACGAAATGATGGTGAGGACCAGACAGGAGGACTTTTGCAGTTCCTTGACGTTGCTTCAGGCAGCTAGCTACCCCCAACCTATGTGGTGTTTTTCCTCCCCTTAATAACAGCTTAATTGAGAGGCAGTTCACATTTCATACATTTCACTGAAGCGTACGAGTCAATGGTCTTTATATTCTGTGTTCGCAGAGTTATGCAACCGTCACCACAATCAATTTCAAAATATTTTCATCACTCCCCGCAAAACCCGAATACCCATTAGCAATCACTCCCCCCTCCCCCCTGCTCTCCCACCCAGTCCCTGGCAACCACTAATCTACTTTCTGTCCCTATAGATCTCTACAGATTTACCTCTTCTGGACATTTCACATAAATGGAACTATTGTGTGGTAGTTTTTGATACTTAGACCAAAGGTGCCTGCTTTTGGCTAAGGGAACCCAGGGCCTCATGCCTGGACAGGTGGATAGTGCCTGTGAAAAGTAGAAAAAGGTCCACCTTTCCTCTGGGCTGCTGGAGGATGTCCTGAGGGCATGAGCTCCTCACTTGCCTCAGGCCCAGGGAGACTGGCCTGTGGCTGGGTGGGCAGGGGCCTCTTCGGGAGGGGATGCGCCTGAGCCCCCTACCCCCCACCCATGCAGTGTCTCATCCAGAGTGTGTCTCTTTCC